TTTCCCTTCCCACTTTCCCATTTCTGTTTGGCCTTCCCTGATGAAATCCATCTAGTTTCCTTACAAACTGTGGCTCATTTAATTCTCTGATGGGGTTACTGGTACCTCTGTGCACCTGCATCAGCCTTCTCATCCATGAACACCTCAGTTGGGGACTGGTTGTTGCTCCATGTCCTCAGCCGGCTTCTAAGCCATTCTGAAGGACATATTTTCATTAGGGTTTCCCAAGTATAGGAGAGCTCCCCAAGAAAAGCTAGTAGCCTTATGGCTAGAGGCTGTTTGCAGGATACCTACTGGCTGTGTCACCTACCTATGTGTTGTCCCATTATTCCTCTAGGTTTCCTGGAGAAAAACAGGGACACGCTGCACGGAGACATCATTCAGCTGGTACATTCCTCAAAAAACAAATTCATCAAGCAGATCTTCCAAGCAGACGTGGCAATGGTAATGCAGCCTGAAGAGATCTTCATTCAGGTCTTTTCAGAAAGGGAGGGCATTTCCTGGAAGGGAAAAATAGATTTGGAGAGTCACACTGATCTGATACTGTTTGAGGTGTGTTTTGAAACTGTTAGAGTGAGTGAACACCCTGGGGGGAGCGTTAACACAGTGTCACACTCCCCTTTCACCGTGTTCACTATCCTAAAACACTTTTCATGCTGTGGTTGCTCAGCTCCTAATTGTGTAGGGGACAAGACACAGTTGTGTTAGGGAGCGATACTCAATACAGAGTTGACAAGAATAAAGTTTTTGAACATAGAAACTTGAGAGAGGAAGAACTAGCTGCTGCTGTGGGATAGGCTACGTGTATGCACGTATGTATGTATGATAGAGTGACAAGAGAAAACCTGGTGGCTGCTCTGAATGATCTGAAGATGCAGTGCAAAAAAAAATGCTAAATATTTATAGACCAGATTTTCAGGAATGTCAGAAAAATTTAGGTGTTTAATTTCTTTATTGTTAAGGGAAGAAGATGCCTCAGTTCCTAAGCAACTTTATTAAATATGCCTTAGCATATTTAATTTAGTATGCTTTGCTCCTTCTGAAATGAATGATAGGTACCCTTTGACTTCATTAGGAAAAGAGTGAGTTTTATCCATCCCAAATAAGCTACCGATTGGCATGACACTCCTGGTAGATGTAGAGCTATCCGCAAACGTGGAGACTTTTGCTCATCTAGATAATACCCTTAGTGATGCCATTTCCTTTGCTTGTTATTTTTTGTTCCTTTTTTTTTATTACCTTTGTGCAAGCTTTGCAGATTTCTCGCTTGTTTGGAGAGTGCAGCAATGCACTCAAAGGAATAAACAAGAGGGAGCTCTGAGGTTGCACGGTCAAGCAGACTTCTTCACCAGAACATCTACCAAGCATTCACCTTTAAAAGATGCTGGCCGTATGTCTCAGCAAAACTCAAGTGTCCACCTGGGTGTTGCCTCAAACCTAGAAACCAAGACCTTTTAAAGCATGGGAGAACGCTACTGAGATAACTCCTTTTCTTTCATAGTTTTAGTCACTGTCTTAGCATTAAGCATTTTAAGAATATGTCACTAATCTGGCCTTTGTGCCTTGGTACTTTGATGATCTCCGCTTCTCTTATTTGAATGGTAGGTTTGTAACCTGCCATACATGCAGCTACATAAGGAACAAACACTGTGTGTTCTACTGACCAGATGCTGCTCTGTTGAGGGCAAATAAGCTTATGAGGCACTTTGCTCAGCAGCTTTCAACCTTCGGACCTTGGGAGCTTCTGGACTAGCTCTTTAAGGGTTCCATGAAAAGTGTCAGAGAAAAGTCCACATTTGCTTCGCGGTACTCAGACTTTCCAGGGGTATCTTCCTATGCTAGAAATTCTAGAGATCCACAGATCAGAGAAGGCTGAAAACTAACAGTGTATGTCCAGCAGTGTATGCTTGAATATTTAGTAATTGTTTGGCTACTGAAAGATGACTTAATGTTTGGGCACAGTGAAATCAGTGTGTGGTGAACTGGATTTTGCTGGAGCACAGTGGGTTGTTAAGCCTGGTTTGTGCATGCTCATCATGGAGAAGGGCTATCTGCATGTGTTTGCTGAACTGGAGCATTACTTTTTATGCAGACATGCGAAATGGTAGATTCAGTGGGAACTATACACAATTCTTCTCAACTACCTGCCTGCATGATATGACTGTGTTACTTGCTAGGGTAAGAGGCCCTAAGAGGCTAAGGGGCAGAGGGGGATGGAAATAAGAGGCTGGAAATAGATGAAGTGAAAAACAAACATCAGGTTTGGGGGCTTTCCCCTCAACCAAAGCTTCATTTCTGTAGAAACTAATTAATTGAATTAAAACGAGGGGAAGAATTTTTATGAAAAGGTGTTTTGCTTGATGTCTTCCAAACTGTTCTCCATTAAGAGCAATGGTCAAAGGACAGAAGAGATGGGCTAAGGAGAGGGTAATGGGGAGGACTGAGAGTGGGGTGGATAAAGAATCACTTCAAAAGGTGCTGAAGAGCTATTTTCACATGGCAAGAGCTGGAGGGCAAAGGTCTCCTCAGCTTCAGGCATGTGAACATGGAGTGAAAGGGGAAAAGACAGGAGGGAGGTTGACAAAATCTAAGAATTAACGAATTTTGTTTGTGAGATGCTGTAGGAGCTGAACCTCCAAGACTAACAGTGTCAGGCTCCCATTTCAGTTATTCCTTCTTTTCACTGTTTGCTCTTCTCTGTCTCTGTTTTTTGTTTTGTTTTGTTTGTTTGTTTTTGTTTTGTTTTGTTTTGTTTTTTTTACCCTGTGCTTCATGTAGTTTCTCTGTGGCTATGCATCCAGCACTTTTGGCCAGTCGCCCACACCGACGCCAAAGGTAAAATAAATACATGAGTTCCTCTGTTGTATATTCACCTCTCCTCGTCAAGGATTGTGCTTTGCTCTTGCTGCTTTATTCCTCTTCCTGTGTTATCTGTAGAGGATCTGTTTTAATTGACCGATATGACTGCAAGCATTTTTAGGCCTTGTTCAGTAGATACAGCAATATGATTTGTGCCGTGTCTTTGTAGGATTCAACCTCAAAGAGCTTCGGAGTGATGGGAATTTGGTTTGGATAAAATCAGAACCAGCCCGAGCCAAGATGATTTTTTTTTTCCTAATGTTTGAGTCATTCTAATTAATTTTGGCTTGATCATTCATGAAGTTCAGTTGGTGCCTCTCACTTGTGCCATCATTGACTTCAGTGGGACATTGCTGCTCCACACAGCAGGGAATCTGGCTTTATTTTGCCCTTTTGGGGGCAGAAAATTAGACAGCTCATGTGCAAAGAGAGACTCGTGGATAGCACTTCTGGGTTGTTTGGAAATGCTGTCATTCTTATGGGTGGTTTTAGGTCTTGTCCAAGTGAGAGCTCACATTTATGCCTTGAAAGGAGCAGTAAATATTGAATTTTGAGGCTCAATCAAACAGGCTTTTGGCACCTTTTTATGCCTTTTCAGATGTGCCTAGTCTCCTAACTGGTTCTGATGACTTCCCAAACCTTTCCTGCTAGATATTTGGCCATATGGGTAGCATACTGGATGCTAAGGTTTCATAATGCCAGCTGTGTGACTCTGCCAACGTTCCTGTGATAATCCTCCCACAGCAAGGAGACTGTGTTGGAGATGGACCTGACTTTTGATATCCAGATCCTTGCATGGGGCTGAATTTTAACACTTTTTATCTCTGCAGCATCTCAGGTGTTTGGACTTGGAATTCCAATGAGTGTGACCTTAAGCAGAATGACCCAATGCCATTTGTTCCATACCTGGGGCCCTTCCCCTCTGTATCATGACTGCAAAGTGTTCACAGAATCACAGGATGGTTGAGGTTGGGAGGGACCTCTGGAGATCATCTAGTCCAACACCCCCGCTCAAACAGAGTCATGTAGAGCATGTTGCCCACATCACCACGTCCAAATGGCTTTTAAATATCTCCATGGATGGAGACCCCAAAACCTCTCTGAGCAAACTGAAGTCTGGTTAGCAACCTCTTGTTGGGCCCCTCTGCAGGGCTATAACAATGCCACATGCCAGAAAAATTCCCTCTGGACTAGGATATGGTGAGAATTGTTATACAAAATCCATCAGGATTTTTTTTTTTTTTTTTGGCTGAAGAACATAGAGGATATAGGGAACTGGAGAAATAGCAATTATATTTCTATGTGTTTTGTTGTTGTTGTGGTTCTCACAATACAGCCTGATGTTTTGTAGGTTTTCCAGTCACCATAATAATCATCATAGCTGTTAGTCACTGAGCCAAGGGTGGAACAGTCAGGTTTGGAAACCTTTAGTTTCCAAATATAGCACTAGCCGTAAGCTCTACAAAATGTGATTTTAGTTCACAATAGTAGTACTCAACACTGCTATGTAGTCCGTCAGCTTTGCATCTCAAAGGCCTTTTCCAGACCCTACAGCCTTTAGGGGAGAGACTGCCTTTTATCACATGCCTACACAGAACCTGCCGTGAGAGTGATTCAACTTTCAGTGGTCATATGGAAGCCACTTTTTATAACTTTTTATATAGCAAATGATGATTCTTACACTGCTGCTGAGGTGAAGCAAGAGGAAACACTGAGTTTTGGGTCACTACTCTGTTAGTACAGGAAGACTCCAAAGCAAAACGCTTGCCTGGGGCTTCGCTATGTATTTGAAAGTCCAGGTTTTCCTGGTCTTTCCCCTGATCCCCTTAGGCTGCAGGGGTTTGTATGCCAATGTGAGGCCCACAGAGCATGAGAGTGAATGGGATGATGCAGTCTGGAGAGTGGACAGGATGAACCCAGACTACTCTGCTGATCCAATGGAGACTGCACCCCTGCCTTTTACCAAAGGCTGGATACGTGCAAAGAGGAGCTGCAAGGAATTAGCAGGCTAGAGAGGCAGGGTATGCTGCCTGGGAGCAAACTGCTCATGCATTCCCTTCAAGGAGACCTTGGTACAAAGTCTTGCATCCTTCCTACTACCATGGCTGAACAACGGCCTCTCCCAGCCAAGACGAAGTTGTCTAAGACTTGACAAACATGCATTGCTTCCAGCATCGTTCCTGCATCTGTCCTAGCATCTGTCCCCTCTCATTGTGGCCATCCTTTTACATCACGTAGAGGTAACTGCTTACACATAACTTGCAAAGCAGCAAGGCAATATTAATGAAAGCTATTCATGCTCAGACACTCACTGACACAGTCTATTCCTCACCAAATCTGTGAATAACCTACAAGCACCTGACTCTGTAGCACTCATCTGTTAACAGCTACATTCATAAAATACATAAACCATGTTAATAGGTTGTCCTAAGGGGAGCTTTGCTAGGAGACATCACTGCTAGCCCCCCATGTTCTCGAGGACAAGTGGGACAGAGTTCCCCAGTCTGTGCATGAGCAGGGTTTCCTCTGCTTTCTTGCCTTGTTGGAATTCCATGACACCTTTCTTTGTTTCAGCTGGGTTCGTCTTATCATAATATCCAACCTGAGCTGTGCAAAATCCTTATTTAGGGATGGAGGTGGGATGCAGATGTTGACCACAAGTTACTAATGCCATACACTGAAGAGCATGTGTAGATTTTGGCAATGAGAGTAGAAATAAAACTTACCACACTGCAAAACATAGCATCACAGCCAGTGAAAGTGGAGACTGTGATTCCATGCATGGCTTTGCATTCCCTGCAAAGAACAGGAAATTTTGAGGAAATGTATATTAATACCTCACTGGAAATACTTGCTTTGGGAAATATCTGGGTGTTAGGTCATGTTACCGTGGGTCCTCTTTTTGGTTCAGAGAGAGTCGTAGCCTGGTGCCCAACTTACTTCTTGTTCAACCCACTCACAGTTCCTCCCACCCCATAAAGGCTCCCAGACCCTACCAAGACCTGTGATTGTCCCTGTTTCCAATGTCTATTGTGAATGTGTATTTCAGGTCATTAGTTGTCCCTGTAGTTCAGGTCATAGTGCATTCATAAAGCAAGGTTGGTTCTTCGTTTTGGTTGGAGCTAGTTTACAAGGATGTTCTTATAGGTCAGGGAGAAGTAGCTATCCAAGAGAAGCCTCTCCGTTCTGCTCAAGAAACACTTGCCCAAAGCTCAAGGCCAGATTTTTCATTTTAAGCAAAACCGTGAGAATAGGCAAAATACCCCAGATTATCCTGGTTCCCCTATATGCTCCCCGCCTTGTTCTAGCAAATGCTCTTCTCCAAACACAACTAAAATCTTTCCCAACTTAAATCCTTTTAGTATAAACTGGGGAAAACAAGTAGACCTTAGCACCTTCTGGAGCTATTCCAGGGTTACACTGCTGCAGACATGCCCTGGATCATCTACCAACCTATTTCAAGGCTGATCCGATACTATGGGGAACAGTAGAGCCTGGGCCCAACATGAGGGAGCGTCCAAGGAGCATCCTAGGGAAACACATGCTCCAAGTCAATGTACAGAGATATTTGAAGGCCTGGATGGGTTTGCTCTTCATGGGTCAGTAGGATTGCCAGCAACATGGGGAGGGTTCAAGCAGGAGAAATTGAAAATACAGCATTGGGATAACGGTCCACTGCCTGCGCTGGTAAAGAGGGACACGGATTTCCTCACCAGATGCAGGTGGCATCAGGGCTCAGTGCCTCCCTGAACTTTCTCTCCATCATGGGAGGTGTCAGGAGCAGATTGGCAGAGTCCAGCCTCTGCAAGCAGGCAGTGAGGACAAATCTAGGAGCCTTGAAGCCCCTCTCCTTTCCCCCTTCCTTCCGGCACCGTTGGCCCATGTGGGTAGTTCTCCTTCTCTCCCCTGCCCCGTTGCTGATGCATCCGTGGCCCCTCCACACACAAAAACCCCCAGCTCCTCCCTCTGCTGCCAGAGGCTCCCAGGGACACGGCCAGAGGGGAAAGACACTGTTATCCTTTCATTTCCTGAGCCAGTGCTGCTGTGGTTTTTCCAGGGAGCGGAGACAAGGAAGCGCTCGCCGACGCTGAGCAGCCAGTTCAAGCGATCCCTGGAGCTGCTGATGAGGACTCTCAGCGTGTGCCAGCCCTTCTTCGTCCGCTGCATCAAGCCCAATGAGTACAAGAAGCCCATGGTAAGTCCTGCTCTTCTTCCTCTCTCTTGCTGCTTCTCACAGGGGCTTGTCCTGCATGCACGGAGGCTAAAACTCTTTGGGATGGTGGTGGAGCCAGGATGGACCCTGGGTGTTTGGAAAACCAACCTGCAGACTTTCAGGCATGGAGGCACCAAAGCTCTCCAGTGACAGCCCAATATGCTACCTAATGTTACCCCCAAAATATTTTGCAGAGGGAGGCTGTTATCTCAGCCTTTCTTTCCAAGGTTGACCTCAAATAATTCACTCTGCAGCCTTTATTCACATGAAAATGCCTCTAAATTTCCATAGAGGCTGGTGTCCTCAGAAACTTAAAAATAATTGACGGTCAGTTAAAAGCGCCGCTTTTATTGTGTTTGTTTCAAAGGCAGTGAAATCTCTGAGGACAAACTTTAATGAGCAAAGGAAAGGAGATGGCTGTAAATCTTTCTGACCCCTGTGAGCACACAGAGAGGTGACTCAAGAGTTTTGCAAGGGAAGTGGGATAATAAAATGGGTTTTGAACACCCCAATCGCACCAGATCTAGACCCTGGTATTAACAATCACTGCTAGCTGCTCAGCACTGTTAATAAAGATAACACCTTTACTGAGCAGTTTTACTCAGTAAGAATTTCAGCTATTTGTAGCTATGAATCATTTTGCCCATGATTGCTTCTCTTGAAGCTCAGATTGGTGGTGAGTAATCTATTGATTATCTTCATCTAAAGTTAGCATCCATAAGAAAACTGAATTGTGAAAAATATATCAGATTTCAGAGCTGCTACAATTTGCTTGTTGGAAACTTATTTTTGCTAATCAGTGAAAATAATACAATGAGGGGAAAAAGTCTGGTGGTTTTCTCTGAGCAGTTTACTGTGCCCTTACTCTGTTCCTGGCGAGTGCAGGAAAAGGCACTTAATGTCATGTTTAAAAGAGTTATTGGGATTAATATGTCTGTTCTGAGATTGTCATCTGAATAAAAGATGATTCAAGAAGATTCGAGAAATTCCAAATCAAAGCCTTGATTTGGAAAATGAGTGATACTGAGAAATAGATGTACCTCTTGAACTAATGTTAAAAAATTATTCCCAATGCCCAGTCTTTAAGCTGCGCATGTGCCTGGATTTCCAGGACCCAATCTGCATCTTACATTACATGTCTATATTTGACCAGTTTTTGCAAGCTTTAAGCCAGAGCTTCACCTCACTTATCTACAAGACATTCAGTGGGACATAAATACAGCTAAATGCTTGAAGGAATAGAACAAAAAGAAGTTAATCTCTGCATAAGAAGCACGAGGGGGTGAAATAACACTGAATTGGTGACTGTAGTGCTGTAAGATATCAAATATGCTTTCTTGCTAAAAAAAGGAATATTTATTTTTGGCCCTGGTTTAATAATACAAAGGAGAAAAAAAAAAAAACAGATAACAGGACACAGAGCTGCACTGGATGATTGCAAAAGAGAACATTTTCTGTGAGTTCACTTTCTGGCCCAGGCTGTGAAGGAAAGTGTACTGATAGTGATAGGAAATGGGATAGTGGGAAGTGAAAGGTCAGTGGAAAGTCCTGACTGTTTGTTGTTTTACATTATTTGAAAACATTTGCTTCCTTTTAAAATGTGCTTGGGGCAAAATTTATATATATTGTTTGCACTGAGATGCTGGCTTGAGTTCTCCAGGTCTTTCCACACAGTTTTCTGAGTATTGTTCTGTTTTTCTTGCTACCCGAAAGAAATGGATGGTGTTAATTAAGTAACAAACTGTTCAAAGAAAGACAAGACTGTCAGCCCATGCCAGCAGTCCGTGTAGCACGAGAGCTTTGTATACCCTGACGCCAGGAAACACGTCACAGCCCATGCACAGCAGACAGGAATGAGCCCTTCCAATTCCACAGCGTTATTTGGGAGCTCTGAATTACTTTACTTAACCAGGGAATGTTTTGCTTCCCTTCAAGTATATCTGAATCTCCCCACATGTCATGAATGACAGCGTGTATAAAGTAATGCAAAAGCCACATCAGGTCTGTTACTTCACCTGCAGGTTGATTTGGCCTTTACAGAAGATGGATGAGCACACAGCATTTACCTTTGCACTTATCTTGTCCCCGAAACTCATATTAGATAGGGACGGGTTGAGACCACATCTGGATGACATTGCTTTCTGCCTTCTTCTCATTTATCCAATGTGTCCTATCCTGGTAAAAGTATTTGCCTTACTTCACTCAAACCTTTTTCTTAAAGTGGCTGCTATAAGCTGGCTAAAAAGCTCCCTCCAGAGCAGGGGATATGAGTGTATCCAGAGGGCAAATGTGCCTGTCATAAAAGTGAGTTTATCGTTTGGTCCCTATGAAGGAAGCATTGTTGCCCATTTTTCCAAGGTGATGGTCTTCACCATTGCATGGTGCTCTCTGGTTCTTCCAGTCCTTTGCAGAATTTATAGGGCATATCCAGCTTTGTAAGTGGGAATTAAAGAAGGGGAATGAGGTGAATGCACTCAGCAATTCGTAGGACCAGCCCTGGGACCACAGCATGAAGGTTTGGGGTGGACACCTGAATTCATTCCCCTATGCAAATTCACACTCTGCACCTTCTTATGGCTTATGCAAGCTGAGTGACAGGGCTGGGAAGCAGTCAGTGAGGTATGTAATAAACCCCTGTATCCTCTGCAACGTTTCCCTCCCCAGCTGTTTGACCGGGAGTTGTGTGTCCGTCAGCTGAGATACTCGGGGATGATGGAGACAATCCGGATTCGCCGGGCTGGCTACCCCATCCGCTACACTTTTGTGGAGTTCGTGGACAGGTACCGGGTGCTCATGCCCGGGGTGAAGCCAGCATACAAGCAGGTGAGTGCTTTCTTCCATGGCAAACCGTTGCTCCTGGTTGGCCTCTCCAGATATGTTTACAATGAGCTCTTCCAGAGACAGTGATGTAGCGCTCAGTCCTCAGATGTTACAGTGGTGCTGGAGGGTTTCCACACAAAACAGGGGAAGGAGGGTTGCATTCAAGCACCAAGGGATTGTAATCAACCTGGTACCTGACTCCCATCCCCTTTGTGCCAGGGCGACCTGCGGGGGACATGCCAGCGCATTGCAGAAGCTGTGCTTGGGAAGGACGACGACTGGCAGATTGGCAAGACCAAGATATTCCTGAAGGTATGAGGCTCTCCGAGTCCTGCTGTGCTCTAGCATCTTTTTTTACTCCTATAATTCTTTTTCCACCCTGTGTGGTGTCCCAGACAGGAGGAAATCCGAACAGTCTGCATAGACGCTTGCACAAACTCACAGGAACACAGAAATTCTTGCATACAGCACACAACCTTTTCCCTCCTGGGCAGAGCTGTGGCTGCTCGGTCTCATCTCTCTTCACCCAAAAGGTCTGGCAGCAGGAGAGATGTCCTGCAAAAAGAGTGACTGAGACTGCAGCAGGCATGGTTTGCATTCTGCCCTTGCACGATCCAAGCTGCACCTTCCAGCTTCCCTCTCTGCATTCGTTCAAGTAAAGTAGAGCAGCCCCGTGATGCAGAGAACCCTGCAGCCCCATGAAACGAGAGTAGCTCTGTCCATCCACACTCCTCTTCCCTTTCCACCCCACTCTTATACTGCTTCTGACAAGGCTGAATGGGCCAGGAACCAGCACAGAAGCAGAGGCTTCTCTCTACCAATCTCTCAGCTGTAAATCCTGACCACTTATTTCATAATATAACCCCCAACCCGTTGCCAGTGCAAACACCCCCATCTCTTTCCTATGAGCTGTTTCCACTAGCCGTTCTTTCCAGAACATGTTATCAAGATCTCACAGCTGTCAGGGCAGGAAACAGAGAAATCAGGAGGCCCTGAAGGGCAGAATGAGGTCAAGCAAAGCAGGAAGTGTGTGGAGTTGCCTCTGTTGCACCCAGAGCGGCAGAGCTCAGCATGCAGCAGCCAGGAGAGAGACTGGAGTTACAAACTGCACAGAAGAATTCAAAAGCAATATGAGGCTGATGCATCTGAAAGCCACAGAGTAAGAAAATTCAGTAAATTCAGTATAACAGGGAGCCATGGTGTCCTTGGGGTCTGGAGATGTGGTCTTGGCTTAAGAGAGCAGCAGGAACCAAGCATCTGGGAGTTTGTTTCCAAGCTTTCCTTGGGGTTGCTCCCACGGCCAGTGGTGCTACCAGGGAGACTTACATGAAAACACAACGTAATTTGTCGGCTTTCCGACCATAAAGTGCTGCATATGCATCTTACCGCCACAATGGTGCACTCAGGAATGAAAACAGTGGGTCCCTTGGAATTACGTCAGTGGCTCCCCAGTGAGGTGGGGTGATGGCTGGGATATGAAAAGTCCCGAGTGGTTTGGTCCGGCAGCCTCGCTGGCGAAGGTCTTCATACCACCTCTCCTGACCCTCCTCAAGTGGGCAGGGAGGTTCAGGCACAGATGCTGTGTCATTTTGTCCCATAGGACCACCATGATATGCTGCTGGAGATCGAGAGAGACAAAGCCATCACGGACAAAGTCATCCTCATCCAGAAGGTGGTTCGAGGGTTTAAAGACAGGTAAGTGTGATGCATCACTCCTCCGATGCTTTGACAACCTGCCGTGTCTGCACCTGGTTGTGGTAGTTGCTCATGTCCTCCTCTCATTGGAGCACAATTGTGGAGGACAAGAGAGATGTTCACCCAAGGAGGACGGGGTTTTTTCACCCTTTCTTGGACTTTGTGCGCTACAATTGGCTTACCCACAGGTGTGTTTGGGTTCAGACCTTGGACTTTGCAGAAAAGGTATGTGACAAGTAATCAGGTGCTGAGAAACCTCCTTACCATCTCACTGAAACCCAGGAGAGACCTCCATATACTCCCAATGCCCCTACAGTGTCCAAATCCAGGATCAGGCCAGGCTAAGGGGGGCAAAGGGGCAAACTGCAGGAAAGGGATGATGTTTCTGTAGGGATTGTGTTGCTTTTGACCCTAGCATCTTTTGCCAGCTAGTTATCATCTCTAGCCCTTACCACAGAGAGCATCCTGCATTCAGTTCCCACCGGCACCAAGAGTCTGGTCCTTCACCATAGCTTTGGATCAGATTGAATCCCTTCTCAGCCAGCTCGGAGGGATTCAATCCCTGAAGAGCTTACCACAGAGAGCATCCTGCATTCAGTACCCACCAGCGCCAAGAGTCTGGTCCTTCACCATAGGTTTGGATCGGATTGAATCCCTTCTCAGCCAGCTAGGACTGAAGAGAGGGATTTCAAATCAGAGAGGAGTCAGCAACGGGGGAAAGAAGGGGATTGTTCCCAGCATCTCCCGCTGCCCTTTTTGGGGCTGCTCTGCCCATTCCTACAAGTTGTCAAGCTGGTGGAGACCTAGCAGAGAAATCCCCTACAGACCTTCTCATAAAGGCACGGAGAGCTGGAGGAGGAGACATCAGGCAGAAGACGCAGTGTTTACTCCATCCATTTGCTGTTTTCCAAACTCTAAAGAATGAGGCCCAGGAGATAATAACCTGTGGGCAAACCACAGAGACAAGTGATTGAAATGCCTTTCCAGGTCCAATTTCCTGAAAGTGAGAAATTCAGTCCTGATGATTCAGAGATACTGGCGTGGGCATAACTGCAGGAAGAACTACGGTGCTGTAAGTACTGGGGTGCTTCCTCACACCCTCTGCCTTCCTATGTCATTCATCCAAGCAACTAAAAAAGAGTTTTCTGGGTCCCTCCAGTTCATTCTGCCCTGTTGAGTTGAGCAGGAGGTTGGCCTTCACCAGCTGAGCAAGGAAGGGTCACCTGGGGTTTTAAAGATCATTTGACAGTTCCTGGGGGAATGGAAGCCCTGGAGCAACATTAGGCCTAGATGCAGGAAGATCAATTTCTTCTGAATACATGCCCTATCCACCTCCAGGCCCGATTATATCGACAGTCATGGCTTTCTCTTGGCCTAAACCCCATCCATGGCTCTCTCCTCTCTCTGTCCTAGCTGGATCTGGCCCAATAGCAGACATTTGGCACAGGGAAGTGGTTGGCCACAGGAGTGACTATGACAAAAAGAGTCCCAATATCATCCTTTTAGCCTGCAACATGATGAGAATAGCCATTTCCAGATGGGTCTGGACATGTCGATGATCCAGAGCCTCGGCAATCAGACAGGCAATCTGCAGGAGCAGGGCTTAGCAGGGGAGCCCATGGGAGATGCTGGAGCTCTATGGGTACAACCCTCATGACTTGCAGCTACTCTGATGTGAAGAACTAGTCCTTTTGAGGCCTCTCAAGAGGGGAAATTCTGTAGGACTCGGTGGGGAAGAATCAACCTTCATCTTCTCCAGTCTTTTAATTAGTGCAACAGTGAGAGCCCTCCGTTTCTCCACCCTCTCGGAGAACCTCCCTCCCAAATGCTTGACCTGGGGGTGGCTGATTCCAGCCGCTCTCATTTACAGCCGCGCAAGCAACAGATTAAGGAGGCAAATCTTCTTAGGGGTGGGCGAGTCCC